AGAGAGAGAGAGAGAGAGAGAGAGAGAGAGAGAGAGAGAGAGAGAGGGTAGGAGCCTAGGAGGGAGCAGTCGAGTACGGGCAGAGTGCCCGAGTGCCCGAGCGTGAGAGAGAGAGAGAGAGAGAGAGAGAGAGAGAGACAGAGAGAGAGAGCTACGGTAGGAGGGAGCACTCGAGTACGGGTAGAGCGCCCGAGTAGCGTCCCGTAGCGTCGCGGAGCGGCAGAGCGCCCGAGTGGCCGAGTGCCGAGCATGCCGTAGCGTGTAGCAGCATAGCACCTTAGTGGACAGCCCCTTCGAATGGTGGGCACACATACAGCCCGCCAATGAAAAAGTGGGCGGGAGATTTCAGGGCTGGGCGCGGGGTGCCCGTTCAGAAGTGGCTGGCAGGCGGGATGGTCCAACGCAAAACAACGAAAAAAACAACGAAAAAACGACTAAAAAAAAAAAAGAAAGAAAAAGCCGAAGGGCCGTTTGGGCGGGTCGTGCGCCACTTCCGGTACGAATCGGTACCGCACGGCCCAGATCGCAGGCCGATGAGAAAAGTTTCTCATCGGCCGGCGATCTGGACCGTCCGCGGGTGGTGACCGGCCCGCAATCTGGGCCGTGCGATATGACGTTAGCGGTTTTTATATTATTGTAGACCCAACCAGGTGGACTGGGATGAGAAGCTTGCTCTCAACGCCAGTCTGTACAACAATGTTGTACATAGCGCCACCGAGGTGAGCCCAAACAGTTTGCTATTGACTTTCAAGCCTAGACTACCCTTAGACTTTCTCCTTCCTGAGAATCAATCAACTGCTGCACCAGGTACTTTAGAGTTTGCCTACAGGTATGAACAGAAGATGCAGCAGGCGGTAGAACAGATGCAGAAGGCACAGGCAGCAATGATAGAGTCTGAGAATAGACACCGCCGACATTCTACGTTTCAGGTTCGRGACAGAGTYTGGGTAAAGTCCTCAGAACTAGGACAGGAGTAYGAGATTTCCCGCAAACTCATGCCACAGTACTTTGGGCCATGGGAAGTCTWWGATATTGTCGGGACTGATCCAGATGGGCCATCTTATGTAATCCGGATCCCTGGTCATCTCCGTACTTACCCTGTCTTTCACGCCTCCAAGCTTGCACCTTTCAAAGAAACAGATCACTTTCCATCTCGTCGTTCAATGCTGCCCCCAACCATGGATGGAGAGGTGGATATCGATGATATCGTGGACCACAGAGAGCTGTCCTGGTGTGGAGTTTCCAGGAAGAACAGACAAAATTCTCACATGCCTGCCTGGAATCGAAAGTGAAGCAAACTGAATAGGCTGGACTGACAACGGACAAAACACACATATCTGGACTCTGAACAGACGCAATACACACATGTCAGTCTGGGAACCCGCCCTCCAAAATCGGCCGGGGGGCTTGGCATGTCCAGGCTCTTAGCCTGGTGTGGGAGGCCCTCAGCATGCCACACTAGGACATGACGACCAGCGGCCCAAAATCACCAAGATGAAATTCCAATGAGAGGTTTAGGGTTTCATTGCACTTCTCTCCAGGTCGCTGGCTGATGCTCCTCCAATATCTCAGGCTGGTCCAACTCACAATCACCCAGTGCTGAAAACCCAGTAGGACCGGGGGGTCCTCCCCCAACCGGAACCGGACCGGTCCTACCGGCCGGTCGACCGGGTCGGTTCCCCCCTGGTTGGCTGTAGCGCATCTTCTTCTTTTCTTTTCTTTTCTT